GCAAAAGTAGGACGGCCAAGGCTGGTCAAGAAAATTGCAAAAACTCTGACAAAGTTATGCTGCAGAGATCACATTCACTACCTACATCCTTCTCCATGTACTCCTGTTGTCTGCTGTTTAATTTGTCCCTGCTTCACATCCATTTAGTATGCACCACACCTGCAATACTTACCTTCTGGTATATGTAGGAGGTATCAGCATGACTAGCTTGAAAATTGTAAGCTATGGATCAGTTTGCATCTTGAACAGCACATTGTAGCTGTAAATGGAGTTTTACCCTGTGCACGCAAATAAGGTAAGAGTCCCTGGAAGTGAAGGACCTAATGCAGCTATAAAAGGTTTAAGGTTATTGTTAGAAAAAATGTGGAAGTTCCTGAATTTTCCCAACCAAATTCTTTCAGACATGGCTCAGGTCCTAAATTCTCATCACTGTAAATCTCTCTGCTTTATAAAGTATGAAGTCATGGCCTGAGCAGCTCTAACCTGAAACACCAGAATGCCTGTGTTGGCAACAGCCAGATTGATTTTTGTCCCTTCCCTGTCCTTGGCTGGATGCAAGCGTATTCCATACATCTCCAGCCGACGGGCAATCTCCAAAAGCTGGAAGTCTGACTCTGCTGGTGTCTGTCCCCTTGAGAAAGAAAACAGAGAAGACACACAAATTCATCAGACATTTTAACAGAGATCAACAGGTCCTTCAGAGAACAAAGAGACATTTCATCAAAGAGACTGACACCTGTCAGAGAGGTATGACCTGTATGGTTTTATTATGTTCCCAGATTTATATCAGGTAGAACAAAAGCTTTATCTTAGTCTAAATCAATATCAAAGAATCCACAGATTTTACAGTCTCTTAGAAATTTTGATTGCTCCAATTCTGAAACACCTGATACCGCTAGATTTTGAACCATTAACTTTAACATTCACTAACTCTCTTTGTATTTTCCATTAGAAAAACATGCTGTATTCCTAAAAATAGTAATAAAAAAACCCCAACCCCCCCGAAAAACCAACCAACCAACCAAAAAAAAAACCAGAAGTGTGTAAGGACATTGATCATTGTAAAAGTAAATGCAATATCAAAATTAAGTAAACAGAGGATGTGAAAACCTTAACATAAATGTTGAGAACCTGTGAGCACTAAATTAATCATGACAGAATTATGCAGAAGTTCTGATTATTACTGCTATAGAACTCCCTACCACACATATCTAATTCAATCTAGCTCAAAATGAAACTATTCAGGTCTTGAAAGTGTTCTCAACAGCATAAAACCCCCAACTATTTTATGCCTTATTTGTAATTCTTTTAACCATCTTCTTACTACTAATCTTTTCTCCAGGCCTTAGGATACCAGTGTACATTATCATCTTAAATTGTATTCCCCCAAATCCCTAATTCTGCAAGCACTTTGTGCTTTTCCTGGATCTATTGCTGAACTCTTTCACCCATCTCTAGATGGGTGGTGAAAAGGATGGGAAGTTGAAAAGGCAACATTCAATGTCCTTGAAATGAAAGAGACTGCTGTCGGAAGCGCCTGGCTGATCAGTCATCATTTGCAATCATACCTGCATGCACAAAATCAGCAGTGAAGCATTTTGTATGAAATAGACTGTAAAATCATGGCATGCTTGAATGACTATTAAAATCAATTGCTCTTTAAACATCTTGTTATGATGACGAGAGAATGGCAGTAGTAACCTTCAGGAAACTCCTAGGCTAAAACATTTTTTAAGAAGTAACCTTTGAGAAACTCAGAGGTCCAAATCTCTTTTGCACTTATGATCTAGCATATAGTTACAGTTAGAACTACTCTAAAGGAAAAGATGACCATTAACAAGAACAAAAAAGTCTTACGCGTGGTTACGGTGAAATTCCATGATTTTGTCTTCTAGTGCTTCTTGCTGAGGTATATACTTGTTCTTCGCCAAGTGTTCACGATCTATGGTTTCATCAAAATCCCCAATCTCAGCTACGAAGAATTTTAAGAAAAGTCTATAAGAACACTATATTAATTAAATCTGAATTATCTGGGCAATCTGAAAGGTCCAGACAGCTGCAAAGAGGACAGAATCATAGAATCATAGCATGGTTTGGGTTGGAAAAGACCTTAAAAATTACCTAGTTACAACCACCCTGCCATGAGCAGGGGCACCTCACACTAAACCATACTGCCCAAGGCGCTGTCCAACCTGGCCTTCAACACTGC